TTCTGACCCAACCTCATGTGGATGGGCGTCCGACGCCCGGCCGATTCCGCTGTCTCATCCAGGGACTGCATGCGGTGGACGGGTGATATGGGCGTCCAGATGGTGTTAGCTGAGTACACCTCTTCGTTTGCCTCCTGTTCGTCCGCCATTCGGCGCATTGTTTCCGCCAGTTCCCTCATGAGTCGAGGGTCCTGCCTGGCCTCATGGGGGATGAGGTTTGTGAGGCCACCCTCTCCCCCGGTTGTCCCCAACGTCTCGGAACGTTCCGTGGTTTGCCCGCGGTTGCTTCGTCCGCGGGACAACTGCTCGGAGAGGTCGCGTTGGCGGTTGTTTCTTGTCATCGTGCTTGCTGTGGGTAGATTTAGTAGCTGTTTGGGAGAGTTTTTTGGAACTTTTAGTTCAGTTTCCCACAGACGGCGCCAGTGTTGAGGTTTATTCCTTCAACCCCCGGGTCCAACACGTAAGCCCAAGGATTTCGAATGGAGTATGTGATTAAACTAGCCCAACAAGCAGATGATATGGATTGGGAGAGCAGTAAGGTAGCGAGTAACTGATTAGGTATTATTATCTCTTAATAACTCCCTAATACAATACTTTTCGCTAAGGCCCCGTCGGCCGTTCGTCTTACAAGGCAGTAGAAGTGCTGCGAGTAAGAATGCTATAGCTAGAGTGCTAATAATAGAAAGTTGCCAACCCTTTACAATGAAATAAATGCTTCTATTTATACCCGCCAATGGGCAGGTGGCTATGCTGACGTGGAGGCCTGCGGACCGCTTGTGTCCCAACCACCAAATCTTCTGCATTAAATGCACTTCCCGCCAGAATCTAGGCTTCCCGCCTAAATAATGGGGACGTTCGTCCGCCAGGGGGTGAGCTGGGCCACTCCAAGTGACCCTCAAGAGACTTCGGCTGTTCGTCCCCTGCCCTTGGTGGATTCTCTCCATGTGGACTGGATCTCCTCCGGCGATCATGGGCCTGCCTAGGAGACGTGCGTCGTTGTCCCTGATGGCCAGTGGTCCTGCCCCTTACCTCTGCACATACGTTCGTCGCGATGGGTCGTTTGAACCTGGACCCCCCCCAATTCCAGACGTTCGTCTTTTCCCAAGGGTCTTGGGCCTGCGCCCAGCCTGGTCCTAGCATGACGTGCGTCCGATAGGAAAAGAGGGGGTTAATGGGCCGGACCTCGGCCTGGGCCATTATCCCAACAAGAACTATTATGTTTTTTTATTCCTTGAATATGAGTAAATTTCTGCCAAGTTTGACATTATTAGGCTCTAAACATGACTTTTTTTTTCAATCTTGGCATATTACTTCTATTTAGGAAATAAAAAACATGTTAGTTCTATTTTGAAATTTTAAAACGTTTTTACTCCTATTTAGAGCAATTTATGTATATTAAAATTTATTTATTCCAATCCAACACCGCCATAGTCGACCAAGCGGACTGTTGGATAATAATACTCATATCCTATAAATAAGGAGAGATTGAACAATAATCAAGAAGAGTAATGGAGAAGAAGAATGTGTATAATGTTGAATGAATTGTGAGTCATCTATGAGTTATGGTTTACAAATTACAAGCCTCCTATAAGGAGTATATATAGGGAAAATCCGGGTCTGGGCCTCTATTATGGGCCTGACAGACCCGGTTACATAAATGGACTGATAGTATAAAAATCTAATTTAGAACATCTGAATAATAATAATGTACAATAATAAGAATCCGCTAAACGTGTGTGGGCCGCTGTCCAGGTCCAATAATAACCGACAAACCGGGGGTCGGAGTTCATATACTCCATCACAGACCATTTCACGATTCATTTAAGGACTAGAGAGAATTCCCTAAATAGGAGTAAAAACGTTTTGAAATTTCAAAATAGGACTATCATGTTTTTTATTCTCTAAATAGGAGTAAATTTTTGCCAAGTTTGGAATGTTGTAAACATGACATTTTTTCCCAAACTTGACAGATTACTTCTATTCAAGGAATAAAAAACATGATAGTTCTATTTTGGAATTTTAATTTTATTATTGAGATAACAAACCTCATAAAAAGGGTCCGCTTCTTCGGCAGTAAGATGTTGAAAAAACGTCTTAGTGTCGCGGTATACCACCATTTTCTATGGTGTGACGAGTGGCGTATGAAATATTTTCTCTGAAGCGACAAATATACACTATGAAGATTACTATCATATGCATTTCACAAATATGCATTTTACTTTTCATGTCATCCAAAAAATATCGTTACGTTCCATTTAAGAAATACTCCGTACTTTTTATCGATCATGTATCTTCACAATAATAGTACTTCTTCTGTTTCAAAATAATTTGTAAAGTTAAATTTTCATAGTTAACACAATATCATTATATTTACTCATTTAGCATATAAATCTTTTAATATATTCTAATATGGATTTTGCTAGTTTATAGACATTTCGGTGTAGGTTCCAAATATTAAAATTGATTTAAATAGGGAAAACTGTCAAATAGGTCCTCGAACTTTCATAAAAAAGTCAATTAAGTCCTTCTATAGGAGACTCTGTCCGGTCGTCGCGATTTGGGGCGGTTCCCGGTACAATTTTTTGATGAAATTTTTTGAGCATCTTATTCATCAAGTCTAGTTTACTCATACCAAATTTCAGCTAAAAATTTAATTGAGAGCGCATTCAAATTAATTCGAGAACGCAAAAATGAGCAGTTATCTTCAAGAATTAATTTGAATGTGTTCCCGATTGAATTTTTAGCTGAAATTTGGTATGAGTAAACTAGACTTGGTGAATAAGATGCTCAAAAAATTTCATCAAAAAATTCCACCGGGAACTGCCCCAAATCGCGACGGCCGGACAAAACCTCCTATAGAAGGACTTAATTGACCTTTTTATGAAAGTTCGAGGACCTATTTGACAGTTTTCCCATTTAAATATGTGTAAAGATATTAATTCTATCGAATTTAATGAATTCGAGATGGATGAATTGAATTAAGTAATACTCCGTACTAATCATATAATTTATATATTCAGGAAATTCTGTTAATATTCAGTGGTTTACATGCTAAATGAAATAAAAGATTAAGACTATACTCAAAAAAAATATCCAACATTAAGCAAAATTGGAACTAAGTTTTAAGAGAAATGAAACAAACAAAAGAACTGGCTAGGAAATGAACCCGCATCGCAAGCTAGCAACGTAACACAACACATCCACCACTCCACAACATCCCAATTAATAACAACCGGATATTGAAGTATATATACCATGGTTCTAAAAATCGCTCTAGGCGCCCGATTAGTCCCCGCTTAGGCGCTAGGCGGTACTCGGGCGCCCCAATTTTAGTCTAGGCGCTCCGACTAATTGATTTGGCGCCTAGGTGAATTAGTCGGCCGCCTAAGGCGCCTAACTACCCGCCTAGAGCGCTTAATCGGCCGCCTAGTCATATAGATTCATCGAACATTTTATTTTGCTTTTTATTTTAGTATTCTAAGAGATATATGTATCTTTAACTATAACAACGCATATGAAGAAAACCACTAGTTGTTGATTAATATAAATACTATACATGCTTTTATATATGTATTCTTAAGTGTTATTATTATTTATTAATAATTATTACGTAATATTACTTGAAGTTAAGAAGTAAGTATGTATAATATGTTATTAAATGTGAAAACTCTTATCATTCATGTGTGCTAGTGTGTGAATGTGTGTTTTTATATTTTATACACACATAAACACAACATTATTAATCATGTTTATGCAAAAATATTAATAAAACTATAATTTCTATGTACTGATTAATCCCCGCCTAGGCGCCCGCCTGGCCGCCTAGGCGCTAGGCGCTGTGCTGGCGCCCGACTAGCGCCTAGCGCCTTTTAGAACATTGATATATACATACATTAAGCGCATGTGTGTGAATATAGATGACACCCCATCCCTGAGGGCCCCCAACACCGACCGGACGGCACGATGAGAGAATGTAAATTGGACTATAATCACAATCTAACAAATAGAGAGTGAGGTCATGTCCCCGATACAATAAAATATATATGTATATGTAAGGGTTGGATGGAGGTTGAGAGGGGGCAGCTGCCCCCTCAATAGATCCACCCCTAGTTGTGACCGTGTAGGGCAATGGGTAAGGATATTTAAGGAGTAAAGGGTCAGTTTGGTACTCGAAGTTGCATAAAAAGAGTCAAATAAGTCCTTATATAGTACGCTTTGTCCGGCCGTCTCCATTTGGGGCGGTTCCCGGTGAAATTTTTTGACGAATTTTTTTGAGAATCTTATTCATTAAGTCTAATTTACTCATACCAAATTTCAGTTAAAACTTCAATCGAGAAGGCATTCAAATGAATTCTTGAAGATAACTGCGCAGTTAAAAACACAGTTATCTTCAAGAATTTATTTGAATGTCTTACCGATTAAAGTTTTAGCTGAATTTGGTATGAGTAAACTAGACTTAATGAATAAGATGCTCAACACTTTCATAAAAAAAATTCCACCGGGAACCGCCCCAAATGGCGACGGCCGGACAGTAAGGACTTATTTGACACATTTTATGCAACTTCGAGTACCAAATTGACTCTTTACTCGACATTTAAGGTAGGATTTGAGCACATGATGACCAAAGCTATATAAAGTAGGATTTGAACACATGACCGAAGATGTTAGATGGTGAGGCTCTACCACTTGACGACAATAACAATTCATAAAAGGGAGAAAGACCAAAATGGACACTAAGGTTATTTAAAAAGCTCAAAATGGACACTAACCTTTTTAATAGATCAAATAAACCCATAATTCTACTTTTTAGGGTCATTCTGGACACCATCTAACGGAAGGGGGTTAAAAACTTGTTCCCCGTTAGTAATCGAGGAACTCTAATGTTGCCCCATCCAAGAACCCCATTATTATCCTCATCATTTGCTCAAAATTAAACAGGGTGGGATTCGCGTTTCCGAAGCGGGGCATTGAGCGGATCGTCCTTCTCTTCAGGATGGGGGCGGAAATCGAAGCAGGGTTCTCGTTTTTCCGGCAACCAGTCCTGGGAGTGGCAAAGGGGCGACCATATCTCTGTTCCAGGCAACCATGTTCGGAGGTTTCCAGCTGCGTCGAACAAGGGCCGCTTTGCCCCGGTGAATTCAGACTCGAATGTACTACTCCAACAGGCTGTAATTTGTTCTCTTCTATTCAAATTGAAAGCAAAACTTTTAGTTTTAGTGTTGAATTTCATTATCCTTGCCAACCTAGGTATTGCAAATGCAGAATGAGAAATGGAATGCCTGTGAAAGCACCACTTTGGACTTCATGGACTGATAAAAATCGAGGGAGACGTTTCTACGGATGCCCCAATTATGAGGTATATATCTAATTTTAGAAAAACAGTTTTATTTATGTTTATAATTTAAATATCTCATATAATATGCAGAGTGATAGCTGTGGTTTGTTTGAATGGCATGATGAGCCATTAACTGGTAGGGCAAAAGTTGTTATTAATGAGCTCAAATTGGAAAATAAACAGCTACGTCTAAGATTTGGAAACTGGAGCATGACATAGGTGGAAGGGGATTTGATACTAATGAGCTTCAAGGATCGAATAGTTTCAACACAGCTGAGCATATGGCATTGGAAAGGGAAAGAAATCAAATGAGGAATTGTTTAATTGTTGTATTGTCTTGTATTTTCATTGGAGTATTGTGTGTACTTTTTAGTTAGTTTGTATTTCTAGGTTGTGTGTAAAGTTAGGTTGTAAGTTTCAAGTGGAATCTCTGTAAAACCTTTAACTGGTTTGGTAAGCTTCTACTAAGCTTCAACCTGTTTTATCTTTAATATAACTATGATTTGGTATGTTGGTTTGTCTCATTCAAATATACTCTGAATTTAACTGTTTGGAACATGTTTAACTTATTAAAACCGGTCATGCAGTTTTCAGAAGCACATCTTGGCTATTTATAAGGTGTTCAAATGATTTTTTTGAAGTGGTTATCATGCAAAATGATTATGGAGTATAATTTACCCAAGATTGCAAAAGCTGACCCTAGTTATCATTTTTTATCTTAAATGGTGTTTGGAGGTTTTGATTCAAAACTAAAAACAGAACCTAGCTTAGTGATTTATCCAAAGTGTATCCAATTATTTGTTTATGTCATAGACCTTCAAAGTAAAAAAAATGGCAGATTTCCTGCTGTGGTATGATAACAGAACAATAACTAAAATAATTACACCCAATTCTAACTAAAAATGGCAGATTTCCTGTTTTGACTTTCTGTATTTGAATAATAAGACCAGTCAAGTATTCAAGCATGGTTATTATAATAGGAGAAGTATGGTAACAAAACACTAAATACAATAACAGTTTGGAACATGGATTTGAAACATAGGATTAGTCAAAACCTGCACATAAACTCATTGAACAATAAATAACAGTAGTTATAAAATGCAGTAAACTCTTGTTTATTGTCCTACCAATAAACACTAGTTAAAATATGCACATGAAACACACTACACTCTTGTTTATTAATCTTGGAATAAACTCTACTACACATATTCATAACAGTTAAAATGGCTGCACATGAAACACATAAAGCTCATAAAAAGGCTGCACAAGTATAAAAACCAGCAAACTGATAATGCTGTACCAAAATAGCAAGCTTCAAAATGAAAAATGATTCATCACTAGTATAAAAGGCTGAAAACTAAACATGCTGCAAACATAGGCTTGATATAACATCTGGATTACTATTAAAAAGTGTAAAATACACTTTAGTTCCATGCGTCCTAGTTTCAAAAAGTGTAAAAAATGTTCACTACAAAAGAACACCGCTACCAAGTTTCAAAGTTATACACTGTATCTACATCTCCATTAACCTACTCTAACTTTGGTTTTCGAACCCACCTACCACTGTGATTAAATTTCAAATTGACAAAGAAACTCATCCTGTGCAAAAAAAGCAAGAAATAAATAATACTTAGTATTACATATGATGGAAGTAATAGAATAATATTCCACTTGAATGGAAAATACGAGATCCATCAAATACGAGAAAATCTTGTAAGAGACAACAAATAACATTCAAGTGATAGGGATAATCTTCTTCTCGCTAGTTAGACATAAGCTTCTTCTTCTTCTTTACAGAATAATTTTACTAGGCAAGAAGATTAATTACCTTCCCAGTAGCTTCACAATGCTCTTTTAAGCCGCAATACTAAGACATCTTCTCATCTCCCTTGTATATCTACGGACTTGAAATTTGTACTCCTTGGTCTGCTTATCGACTTCTTTGCTCCAGTTGGAAATTATGGCGGAAGGAATGCGAATAATAGGGTTAAGACTTTTTAGTTGTTTGTTTTCTTAAAACTAACGGGCTGCAGCTTTTAACTCCGTTAACTTAGCAGGTGTCCAATAATGACCCCAAAAGTAGAATTATGGGTTTATTTGATCTATTAAAAAGGTTAGTGTCCATTTTGAGTTCTTTAAATAACCTTGGTGTCCATTTTGGTCTTTCTCCCTTCATAAAATACTAGATTAGACTGTTTAATTGTTTTAGCCTTGTTATATCTCCTTCCCAAATTGATGGTCTTCCACTATTTTGAACCGTTACGTTATTCTAGCAAAACCGGGTTCAGTACCGGGATATCCCAATTCCCATCCCAGACCATGCCCATATCTAAACTCTACACTGAGGTTAGGTTAGATGGTTCTTTCTACACTCTTGATATTTGATCCTAAAAATATAGGATCATCAATTTGGAATCGAGGGAGTTTTAAATAAATGAAATAGGTAAAGACCAAGTATTGTGGTGATGGTTCTCTCCCAACTCTAAATCTAGCCACGTCTAGTGTTCCTTCAAACTTGCGAAAGAGGTAGGCTTTTTACTAGGATTTTGTGCTCCGTTTTCTTCGGTGAGTTGGGAATAGCATGCAGTATCATCGTTTTTCGGGTTCACTACTTTGGAGTCTTGAAGTGTAACGATGCAGGGATGGAGCGGCTGGTTATATACTTATATATAGATTGTTCTTATGTTTTTTTCTCGAAGATTTGTGAAATCCTTTCAACCCTAGATCTATTTCTATAAAAAAAAATCATAATGATACCATCTCATCTATTGTGTCACTCATGACCCATCTCCCTCATGAAGGGATAAGGGTCGGTCTTCGAAGTTGCAAAAATGGGTCAAATAAGTCCTTACATAGAAGATTCTGTCCGGACATGCCATTTGAGGTGGCTCCCGGTGGAATTTTTTGATGAATTTTTTTGAGCATCTTATTCATTAAGTCTAATTTACTCATACCAAATTTCAGATAAAAATTCAATCGGGAAGACATTCAAATGAATTCTTGAAGATAACTGTGCCGTTAAAAACGTTGTTATCTTTAAGAATTCATTTGAATGTCTTCCCGATTGAATTTTTAGTTGAAATTTGGTATGAGTAAACTAGACTTAATGAATAAGATGCTCAAAAAAAATTATCACAAAATTCCACCGGGAGCCACCTCAAATGACACGTCCGGACAGAATCTTCTATATAAGGACTTATTTGACCCCTTTTTTGCAACTTCGAGGACCAAACTGACCCTTTACTCCCCTCATGAAGCACCGCCACGAAGTGGATGTATTATCAGGATGGGATGATTGTATTTTTATTTTCATTAAACGAAAGAGTACATTAGATTGGAATAATTTTCGATCATGTTAAGTCATGAATGTTGGATCTAAAGGATCAATGGATTCTTTAAGAGCCCGTTTGGAGAACTCTGTTTTCGGCTTATCAGGCTTATCAGTCAGCTTTTTCACCAAACACGTAACTTTTACTTTCGCGTGCTGAATTGTGTAATAAGCCGAAAAAGTAAGGTTGGAGTTACTTTTCTGGCTGTATCGGCTGAAGTTACTGTAGATGACCATTTTAACTATTTTTACATATAATTTTTTCTTTAATTTATTAATAAAATATATTTTTAAAATATTTTTTTCTTAAATCAGCAGAATCAGCCAAAACAGCCACTCCAGCCAGAATATCATAAATTTCAGCAGAATCAGCCAAAACAGCCGATTTTGGTGCTACCAAACGGGCTCTAAGTCGTTCTGTTGTAACGTTGTTATGAGTTTTTCCTGTTGTTACATTTTTTTTTTTGCGGAAAATAAAATTAATTGCTATTAATCAAATCATAATCAAGTACATCAGTAACAAAAGGAGGGGAAGTAAAAAACCAAACATGACTATCAGACAAAGAACCCGCTGCCTTAGCCAACGCATGAGCTGCTCGGTTCGCTGATCGTCGAACATGAGAAAAAATAATACTAACAAAGTTAGTCATCAAATCTCGTATATCCTCGGCTAAAATTCCAGAATAAGATAAACTTGAACCCCTTTGAATTTCTTGAATAGCTAGAAGAGAATCAGATTCCACATCAATAAAATCCCATTGTTGAGCCTTAAGCCAACTGAGAGCTTCCCTCACACCCATAAGTTCAGCTTCGAGAGGGGTAAACTTACCGGACCCTGAAGTACATCCACCTGCCAAAAATATTCCATAGCTATCTCTTACAACCCATCCGAACCCGCATCTCTCTCCCCCGGTTGAGGCATCGACATTAACCTTCCGCCTCCCTGCACCAGGTCGCTGCCAGTGAATTGCGCTAGCGGTGAGTTTACTCCTTAAAAGTGATGTTGGTTGCTGCACTTTAACCCAACTGTCAACATATGACCTGGTCTTTAACATCACCTGCAACCCACTGAGATTCCTCATTTTCCACACTCTTTGATTTCGTTCTCCCCACAGCCCCCAACAGCCAGAGATAATCCCAGCAATGTCTTCTTTCTTTAGCACCTTAAAATTCAATTCAAGCCATTCCAAAAAGTCATGAGCTAATTGGCCCACCTCCAGCCAACGAACTGTCCCCCATGCTTCTCTAGCAACTTGGCACTTTACAAATAGGTGAAGCAAGGATTCATCTCCATCCTGGCCACAGAGTCCACATTTGATCTCACAAGCCACACCCCTTCGTCTTAGATTCTCCGTTGTAGGGAGACAACCGGTACATACCTGCCAAAAAAAGGATTTCATTTTAGGAGGTAAATTAAATCGCCACATGGCCGTCCATCCCACCCAACCAACCGGAAAAATATCCCCTGTAATCCTCCTATAGCAACTCTTCACCGTGAAGCTGCCGTTTTGCTCCCCCGCCCAGACCAAGCGATCTGTCACCGACCTGTTACTCACTGGGATTCTTTTTATAAGTTCACGATCTCTAGCATTGAAGAGATCCACCAATATATCCTCATCCCAACCTGCCCTTAAAGGTTTGAAAAGACCAGCAACTGAAGCTCCCTCTAGACCATGAAAACACTCCGATGAGACCCTAGGATTATCCTTATCAGGCAACCAGGGATCTCTCCAGATGTTAATGGAGCTCCCATCCCCAACCCGCCATCTAACTCCTTCCCCTGTAATTTTCTGCACCTCAACCAGACTTCTCCAGATGAATGAGGGGTTATTCCCAATTTTTGCCGTTAGATAAGAACCGCCTGGATAATACCTTGCACGAAAAACCCTTGCAGCCAAAGTTTCTGTTTCTGTTAAGAGCTTCCAAGCCTGTTTAGCTAACATAGCCAAATTAAACTCCCTGACCTTCCTGAACCCCATCCCCCCTACTGTTTTTGGTCTACACAGAAAATCCCAGCTCCTCCAGCGAATCCCTTTCCCAGCATGACCATTCCACCAATACCCATTCATTATTACTTCAATTTCTCGACAGAGGTCAACGGGTAAAAGGAAAACATTCATTGCGTAAGTCGGCATGGCCTGAATAACTGTTTTCAAAAGAATCTCCCTCCCAGCCTTCGAAAGAAATCTATTATTCCAGTTCTGGAGTTTTTTAATTACTCGATTCCTCAAATACCCAAGGATCTCCCTTTTACCTTTCCCAAACAACGCCGGTAAGCCCAAGTACCTCTCCTCCTCCCCGGCATATCCAACTTGCAGCAAATCAGTCAGCTCCTTCTTAACATAGTCTGTCACATTGGCACTAAAAAAGAATTTAGATTTATTGAAATTTATCATTTGACCCGAGGCTGATTCATATGCTTGTAAAATCCCCCGTATGGTCAAAGCTTCAGCTTGTGAGGCCTGGAAAAAAAGCAAACTATCATCAGCAAAATATAAATGGGAAATTCGAGGTGCTCTTCGCGCCACTGCCACGCCATGAATCCTACCGCAAGCCTCATGTTTGCTAATAAGAGCACTTAAGCCTTCCGCTATCAGAAGAAAGAGATACGGTGATAACGGGTCACCTTGACGAAGACCCCTAGTAGGATAAATCGGGCCCAACTCTGTAGCATCAAAGGGGATTGAGTAAGATACTGAGGAAACACACTCCAAAATTATCCTCACCCATCTCTCCGCAAACCCAAGACGTCTCATCATCCCCTCTAAAAACTCCCATTCAACTCGGTCATATGCCTTGCTCATATCTAACTTCAGAGCCGCAAACCCTGTTTTACCCTGTCTTTTTCTACGCAAGTAATGTTGAGCTTCGAAAGCAACCATAATGTTATCAACTATAGACCTTCCGGGAATATAAGCACTTTGAAATTCAGATATACAATGATATAAAAGCCCTTTCATTCGGTTTGCGAGCACTTTAGAATAGATCTTATATATCACATTACAAAGTGCTATCGGTCTCCAATCTCCTATTACCTCCGGCTTATTTTTTTTAGGGATTAAGACAATATGAGTGTGATTTACCTTATCGGGTAGCCTTCCTGATTCAAAGGCAGTTCTGCAGTAGTCCACCACATCCGGTCCAATCACATCCCAGAAGTGTTGAAAGAATCCTGGGCTCATGCCATCCGGCCCTGGCGACTTATCTGGATACATAGAAAATACTGCCTCCTTGACTTCTTCAGCCCGAATTGTTCTCAAAAGCTCCAAATTATGATGATCCTCAATCTTTCTAGAAACACATCTGAGGACATAATCACGGTCACCCTGCACAGAAGAAAACACATTAATAAAGTAATCTTCCACCATCCTCCCCAACGCCTCTCTGTCCCGCTCCCACCTCCCCCCTTCCATCTTGAAACCCTCCACCCTATTCTTCCTCCTCCTCCCCTTGACTGCGTTATGGAAAAATCGAGTGTTAAGGTCCCCATCCTTATACCAAAATTCTTTCGCCCTTTGCCTCCAAAATTGATTCTCTTTTGCCAGGAGCCCTAAATATTCCTCCTTGACCCTACCAAACTCAGCCACACTCCAATCATCTGATTTCAACCTCAAATACTCCAGCCGCTTTCTGCAGAACCCGATGCGATTTCCATAATTCCCACATCTACCTTTCCCCCATTTACCCACTTCTCGGCTGCACTCTTCAATCTGATCCACAACTCCTTTTCCTTTTCCCAAAAACCATCCCTTCACCACTACCTCCCGACAATCTTCCTCTCTCAACCAGACATTTTCAAACTTAAATCTTCTACGTCTTCGTACTCCAGTTACAGGACTCAGTCTAATAATTAACGCCAAATGGTCACTGGGGGCGCCCTCTAAAGATTCTGCCTTCGCGTTGCCAAACCTGTCCATCCAGCTTTCGGAGGTCAATATCCTGTCTAGCTTTTCTTCTACCCAGTTCGGTGTGCCCCGCCATCGCTCCCAAGTGAACTGGTACCCTTCAAACTGAAAATTGCAAAGACCACTTGCCCATACCGCCTCCCTGAAACCACGGAGCAGCCATGAGGGATGAGGGATTCTCCCTCTTTTTTCTCCTGCATACATTAAATCGTTAAAATCACCCATGACCAGCCATGGTAAATTCGACCGCAAACTTAAAGATCTCAGAAGATCCCAAGATTCTCTCCTTCTAGACCGCTCTGGGTATCCATAGAACCCGGTAAAACGCCAAGGGGGATCACCAGTTTCTAACTGCACCAAGGCATCAATAAAATGAGGAGACGACTCCCGAATCTGGATCGTTATCCCATCGCCCCAAATAAGAGCTAGCCCGCCCTTATGTCCAATACTTTCCACCACAAAGCATGAATGTAACCCAGATTTTCTCATAACCTCCTCTACTTTTGATGTATTAGTAAAAGTCTCCATTAAGAAGACAATACATGGCCTCTTAGAGTGGACATAGTCCACCAATACCTGAACTGCCGAAGGATTGCCGAGCCCTCGACAGTTCCAGCTCAAGCAAGTCATAATGTCAGGCGGGCCTGGAAACCAGGTCCCGCCCCTTGCACGTTTTTTGACTGGTCAATCATGTTATTTGCATCCATAGAAATTCCTGTCGTCGCTTCCTGGAAGGTTGTCTTTCTTTTTTTGGACAATCCTCCTGTATCTGGCATTTCCCCTTCCTGATGTACAACCAAGCTAGCTGATAGTTTCTTATCCCTTCCTGATGGACCCTCGTCTTCCTCCCCATCCTGCCCACCATATTCTTGAGAAGAGTTATTTTCTGGTTGTATGTTCATTCCTCCTCTTCGCGCCCCTCCTAAAGCCCTGCCTTCTCCGTCAACTAACCACCTGCTACTGCCAATTCTTCCTCCTCGCCTTCCCCCAGCTTTCAGCCAGACTCCATAAGGCCTCTCCTGATCAGCTGTGAAGCCTTCTACCCACTTTGAACAGAATCGGTCAACATGACCCATCTTGCCACAAATGAAACAGAAGTGTGGGAGACGTTCATATTTAAAGTTTACCCAAAAAATCTCTGGACCATCTCTGAGTTTCATTCTGCGTTTTAAGGAAAAATGAACATCCATCTTCACCCGAATTCGCATAAAAACTTTACAACCCCCTGTAAAATTGCTAGCATCGGCTTGGATAAACTGACCCACATAGTTACCTATAAGTTGTGCCACACTTTCTGTAAAAAACTTCATCGGGAGATTATAGACTTGCACCCAAAAGTTCTCATGAGTTAATGGAACTGTCATAGGGTTGTCCACTAGAGTCAAACGTCTCAGGATCAAGAGGTTGTTATCAAAGGACCACGGACCATCTGCAATTACCCTATCAATGTCAACTTCATGGAAGAATTGGAAGATATAGCGTCGATCTCCCAAATCCCTTATATTCACTCCTCTGACCGGCCTCCAGGTATCGGCCATGGTATCTCTAAAAATCATAAATTTCACCTGCCTTTCTGTATGAACACGACCCACCACCGAGAAATTTGGGACCGAATGTAAGGAATCTGGAATGACATCCGTTACGTTCACCCCTTCCCCTTCTTCGTCTTCTAAGGATAGACGGGCGTACAATTCTTCCATTGAATCTGTCATCTCGGAAGCCAACAATTACTTCAATACTTCAACGTAGAGGAAAAACTATCTCTAGCAAACAGAGCCTCTGGCGTAGCAAACCCTAGATCACTAGGGAAAAAGACATTCTTATCTGTTTTGATTCTTAATATTATCTCTCTGTGAAAAATTTTCTCTAGACAAATCTCATTTTTTGCTGACTGCCGATACACATATTCATATTGGTGTCACAATCAGATTTTTCGATCACCATTTGATTGTGGATTGCAGCACAACGTAATTGATCATCACAGGTTTCAATTTTTTGTTACATTTTTATTCATTATGTTACTATGTTTGTTAGGATGTTTGGCAATTATGTCGTTTTGATATTGCTAGAGATATGATGATCTGTATGCTTAGGAATAATTGTTTTATGTCCACTTACAGCCGTTAGTGATTTGGTATTACTTTTCCATCGAGGATTGCCTCTATTTCTAATCGTAGAATTTTTAGTTGGGATTTGAGGAGAATTGCAATTGTTACTTCGTATTAGTTTTGTCGAGTATGATATCAATAAAGGCGATTGGAATTTAAAAACCTGGGAAGGGATTTGATCGCAAAAAATGAAGGCGTACAGCCGGCTATACGCTGAGAACCGTACAACCGGTGGTATTTTTGTAATTTACATGAAGTTCGCATCTTGTACTAAATGAGCATTAAAATACGTCTAGTGAGCATGAGACATATTTGGTTGAGCAATAGAAGCATAACAATGAGCATCGTGATCTCTACTTCATCTCTTCAAATTTACGTTCTTTTCCTTATTTTTTTCTTTATAAAAACTTATTAATTATATCTATAATCAACTCTTTTGAACTTCAATATGCGAATTTAATGCAATATGATACTTTTGAAATATGCATTGTTATGTCATTTTACAAATGAACATAACATGAGTACCCGTTGAGCATAATAACTTATAAAATGAGAATTGATATGAAAATCATAAATACTTTTAATTGAACATCAAGCCATTTTTATTGAACATTAACTTGAAATTATAAGCACTAATAATGATTTTCATTATGTGATTGTGATGAGTATCGAGTCTGTTCTTTTGAGTATTATGGGTCTAACAATGAGCACCAGTGCTTTGTGCTTCATATCTTATAATTCAATTTCTTTTTATTATTTTTTCGTTTATTATTTCAATATTGGAATCCAATGTAGTATGATGCGTTTGAAATATGAAACATGTTTAAATGAGCATAAAACAATACCAAATGAACATACATAATTTATAAAATGAGTATAAAAAAATTCAAAACTTCATTTGTGTATGCCAATTGATTTTGGGCGTTATATTCGATATGTCCATCATTTTAAAATGAGCATAAAGCAGTACCAAATGAGCATACCTTACAATGTGATCTCTGCTTCATACCTCACATATCACTTTATGTTTTTTATGTGTTCGTTTATCAAAAAGTATTAAATTATGTCTATAATCAATTTCAGTTTATCTCAATATGTGAATCTAATATAGTATGATATGTTGAAAATGTGCAACCTTTTAAAATGAGCATAAAACAGTACCAAATGAGCATACATACTTACAAAATGAGTATAAAAATTTCAAAACCTCAGTTGTATGTGCTCATTCATTTTAGCTTTATACTCATTGGAGTCTAAAACAAAACTCATTTCTAATTTGAGCATAATGTAGTATGATATGTTTGAAATGTGTACCCTTTTAAAATGAGCATGTTAAGCAGTAGCAAATGAACATACATGATTTACAAAATGAGTATAAAAAATTCAAAAACTCATTTGAGTATGATCATTCATTTTGGGCGTTATACTTATGGGTGGACCGGTTCCGGTTCGGGTCTGGGCCCGGCCGGGCCTCGGTTCAGAAATGGGAGGCCCGGAACCGGGCCGGGCCGGGCCTGGCTGGGCCTCGGTTCTATGTTTTTTTTTTGGCTTTTCCTAATTAACCCTCCCCCCTCACCCCCAAACCATCCCAAACCACCTCAAATGGCCCAAAATACCAAGCCCAACCCAAAAACTTAAAAAAAAAAAAAAAAAATTAGTTTGGCCCGAACCGGGCCGGGCCGGTTCGCCAATCAAAGGGCCCGGGCCCGAACCGCACAGTAACTGGGCCGACCCGAACCGCCCCCTTGACCGGTTCCCGGGCCGGGCCGGTTCAAACAGTAACCGGGCCGCGCCGCCCGGCCCAAGTCCATCCCTAGTTATACTCATTTGAGTTTAATATAAAAATCATTTTAGGCGTTAAACTATGATTACTATCTGTCAGAATGGATAATAAATGTAATGTTCCTAACAACTTAAGAAAGCATCTTAACAACACATGGTAGACTCTATAGACTCTATAGCCTATACTATCGTATATTTGAAGCCTTAGGGTCTGTTTGCAACAACTTCTGCTTTTAAAAAAGTGTTTTTTATGAAATAGGGAGAAGTGATTAAATAAAAGTTGATAGTGTTTGAGAAAAAAGTGATTTTGAAAAGTAAAAGTGGGTAGTTTATGGTAAAATAAGTACTTTTTGTGTAATAGAAAAAGTAAAAGCACTTTTGACGCGGAAGCCGAGAAAAATAAAAGTTGTAGTGTTTGGGAAAATAAGTGCTTTTTTAAAGTCAAAAGCTGAAAAATGCTTTTTTAAAAGTAGTTGCAAACCAACCCTTATGCTTCGAAGAAGATCAGGTCGGCGAAGGGTTCAACAATTGTGATTTGATATTTGCAGGTATATATATTACATGAGACCGCTCACAAAGGAGGGAGACAAGCACAGTAAGCCGAATCTGGAAGCAGAGACAAGCATAGTACGCCGGTATTGGTCGTATTCCTTCGTCGATGGAGTTGCAGCGAGCAAGTGAAGCAGATTTAATTACAAAAATACCCAGCTGTATGATGCTCACCGTACAGCCGGTTGTACGGTGCTCACCGTACAGTCGGTTGTACGGTGTAATTTACCGCAAAAAATCTGCTCATGCATGGTTAAAATATATTACTTGGAGTGCAATGATTGTTTGCAAATTACATAATAGTCGTTTATTTTTTTAAAAAAACAAAATGCACTACATATCCTAATTTGCAAACAACCATTGTAATTCAATTATCTTGATTCTAATAATATTAATGTAAGTGATTTTATATTAAAAAAAAAAGGAGGATGGGTAAAGAGTGAAAAGAAAATTCAATTAATAAAACATTAAAAAGGGATTTGAACAAAAAAAACCGCTCATAGGAGTCATAGATGGTTAAAATCTACTGATTGCACTACACATCAAGGATAAAAAATAGGATCACTATATTTTTATTCCCTAAATAGAAGTAATTATTGTCATATTTTTGTGCAATTAATTATTTATTTACTCCTAATTAGATAAATCTCCAACAAGTTTATGAAAATGTAAGCCCTGTTTCACTTGCCTAACCAAAGTTCAACATTTGTTACCGTTTTGGGTGCAACAAACAAACAAACAAACAAACAAGTGTTACTCTACAATCTACATGGGAATTACTCTACATGGGAAGGGTTTTAGTGAAACCCTTCCTAAAATGAAAACTCTTTATAAATAGAATTCTTAATCCCCACCTTTGATATATCAAATCAAGGGTTAAATTCAACAAGGTAGCATTTTTTAAATAATTTTATAATAATTACAAAATTACCACGTTTGAATTTTAAATAACACAAAAAACCTTGTGTGCATCCTATAAATGATTGAATAAAATGAAAGGTTGTGATTAAAAAAAATTCATTACAAGGGGTTCTCCTTTTGGGAGTGGTTCTCACTAGAACGGTAGAACCCTCCCCTACTCTACATAATACATTGTTGCTCTGCACTTTTTTTAATCAATTGACATACATTAGAGTGAGAAGATCAGTTTGTATAATTGATTTATAATACATGCGTCATTCTCATTACTGGTTCGAGGTTTGACCTCTGGCAGTTTCTGTTCTGCTTCTGAACATGTCAGGCTGGAAATGATCGGCAGCGTTGACAAACTTACCGAACAATTTCATGAGTGAGCTGGATTAAGCATAGGCTGTGCCTGCTATTTGGGGGATAGGCTTATAGGGCAAATAGAAAATGCAATGCATCTTGCTGCTTTTGCAAGCATAAATCGCTCGTTTTCTGTCAATGGTCTCTCTATAACCTTCACGATATTTGCATCCTACCAGAAAGCATGAGGAGATATATTTAGTATATCAATGAATTTCCCTTGCCATGTACATTAATTACAACACTCTACCTCCTATTCAAATCATTTTTCTTGAACATAGTCACATTCTGGAATGCTATTTTTCATTCTAAATGCACTTTTAGATTGCCGAGAGAATTAAATACTGCTCTTTTTCAACTCTACCCATGTCATGATGTTGGGGTATAACTAATTTAATAGTTCTAATTTCTTACTCCCTTCACCGCAAATTAATTGACGTTTTAAAAATGTTCGCACATATTAAGGAACATTGCAATAAGACCCATTTATCCCTATTAAAATTCAACACAGAATGCATCCTATTTTTCAAAGAAGAAAAACATTTAACATAACAAATTTGAGATATTGGACCCAAATATGCATTCATTTCCAATTTGAGATATTTTGGGACAATATTTGGCTAAAATGACATTTAATTTGGGACAGAGGGAGTAACAAAAATGTAATGTGCTCCTCTAAATCTCTAAAATGAAGACTCATACTTATTAAATGATATTTTTAATTCATTATTGTACCTAACCCTTGACTGATGGAGAGAAAGAAACCAAGGGGGTACTGGTATAGATTAGGATGAGTTTAACTGATTGCATATGCTATCTATCCTGGAGGGGGGAGGGGACTAACCTTCATCTGCTGTTGCATTGAAGGCCTCACACTGGCAATATCGCCCACCACGATAACATTGTTAACATTGCCACTCTCATCCCTTTCAGTTGGTGAGGATGTAGAATGCCTCCATTGTCCATTGATAATGTACTTATAGTAGTACCTAATAAACAAAGATCAATTCCTAAGCTGTAAAAGCTAATGCTAACACCAAGACAAGGTGCAGAAAAAAAGGATAGAGAAGAATGTACAAGTATTGAAGTTTTTTGCACCACTGCAATTAATTCAGTACTATAAGATTATAAAGTAACAGATGGAAATGATCAAATAGGCATCTTCTGCCATTTTGTAATGGAAATGGTCAACTAAATGAAAAAATGATGGTTTGGCTCTAGTCCTAGACCCTGTGCCACAACTGCTTATGGATCCTATGAAAAAAAGATGCCACAATTGCCTCGAGTCCGAGACGCTATGTCATAACTGCTTATGGAACAAATCAAGAAAACATCAAAAATAAAAGTGTTGAAGGAAACCCAAACTTGACATGGGCTTCCAATCAGTACTCCAAAGCTTGATGATAACCGAAATTGAATTGCCAATTTTCTTATGTCAAAGAGAAGCATTACTTACTTTCCCTGTGAGAGACGGACGTCAGCCTCAAACCTAGGGCCACCTCTGTGGACTGCTTTAACTGGTCCTTTCCAGTTTTCTGTAAAATCCCCGACCAAGTACACTTCCTCTCCCTGCCATAAGAAACAATGAAAATATTATCATTGCATTGGGGATAATATACTCAAACCACACACACATGAGTTTCAAAGTGTCAATCCTACCAAAGAAAAGATAATAATTCATAAATTACAGACTTCCTCTATGATTGTCAGATTTTCATCATCCAAATAATAAAAGGAGCATGATTAAGTATTCAAGCTTACATACCTCATGTCCATTCCACACGAAGGTAACAGCATGTGTTGCAGGTCCATCATGTGCACCAGTTTCCACCATAGCTATCAAATCCCATGTTCCCCAGGCAATAGCTGGCCTGCACGTTATGGTACAAAATATATAAAGCATTATATGACACAAAAAAAATCCAGGGGAATATTAAAATTTAATACTATTCACTTCAATAAAAACATCTCATTTCATCATCCATTTTCATTTACCCCAGTGCCGCAAAGGCTCCCACCCACGGTGGGGTAAGGGGGGGTCGGATGTACGCAGTCTTACCTCTATACTGAAGCACCGAGAGACTGTTTCCGGATGACCCATAGTGAAAATCGCGTCCAAAATTGCATGGGCTGACTGCTACTTCATAACAAAGAAGCGCAGACAGTTTAGTGAGTCATTTTGCTTTATTCCATCATATTCTCAAGCCAAAAAATAATGAATCTTTGGCTCCATTGCAAATGATGGAAAAACTTCAATAAAAACATCTAACTAAGAATAATTATGGAGGAAAGTGGGCGAATGATGCGTGCTTCGGTGAGGAATTAGAGGGTAATGGGGGCAAGCGAGGAGCTATGTGCATCTCCAAGCTCATTACATCTCACTATTCCAATTTGGGGTATTTGAGAGGAGTTATATTTTTTCTTAATTTCATTTTTCAACTGTTTTAAATCACAACTGTTTTAGCCTACTTTTGGTATGCATATACATTGCTATATTTCTAATTACAGGAAAAATTATCAAACATATTATTTTACTTTGTACGAAGTTCCTGTAACTCTGTAAGAAGTAGTTTTACTTTTTTAGAGTTCCTATATATACAAAATTCAATAAATAAGAAAGATACAAACATGCTAAAGTATTTTGAGGGGAGAAATAAAAAGAGTATATGGAGATAACAAAAACCTGTCAGGCTTGCAAGAATGTAAACCAGTAACAAAATTATAGGCTGCATGAAGGGAAGTATCAGTCATCCAATGAAGGTATGCAATCACACAAGCAGGGGACCGATCAAAACCATTGGTGCATGTGACATAAACACGGTGATTCTTTTTCAATAACCGAAGAAGGAGGCCAACACAAAATGGTAGTTTCTTTCTCATATCAAAGGAATCACCTTCTCTGCAAAAGGAATGAATACTGATCAACAACTTTATTTTACCATTTGACGCTATACAATAATGAAATATAGTACTTCCTGAGTCCTTCCCATACTGTAAGAACATTTAACATGACTTTTATGAAGACAAGGGAGATTGTTACTCATTATTTTACAACTATGGCCCTTTAGAAGAAGAATTAATAGTAAGAGTCCCGCAAAAAATAAAAATCGAACTGGTAGGTAAAAGGATTAAATGAGAAAGTAGAAAGTTAGTAAAGTTTGAATGGGTCTCGCAAAAAATAAAAATTGAACTGGTAGGTAAAAGGATTAAATGGGAAAGTAGAAAGTTAGTAAAGTTTGAATTAGAAAAGTGATGGTAATTTTGGAACTGACAAAGAACTGATGTGTATCAAACAAATGGGACGGAAGTCAGAAGGAGTATTATAAAACGGAAAATGGCACCTTTGGTCCCCCGAGGTAAACCTTTGGTACACCTTAGTCCAAGCAATTGACCTCTCCCTTTTTTGTTACCGACTTTTCCCAATGTGACCCTATTAGTCATCTAGAACCTTCACAAGCTTAATGGAAGATTAAAAAGCACTTCTGAGGAAACTGGGGTACGAAAATGGAGAGGCCACTAATCTGTGGAATAAAAGTTTACTGTGGGGTGCTGGGTGACTAAACCTTCCATTTTACCTATAATTGAGTTGGTATTCTCATTCATTGCGTATTCAACGCATATAAATGTATGATAGATGATATACTAGTATTAGACATACTGCCATGAAATATATTATGACGATGCACATGATAAAGTATAAAAAAGGGCATTTATGCATAGAGGCTGACTAATAGCTAGGTGCCTGTATTAGTAGTCTCCTCCATATATACGGAGAAACAGTTGAATGGAGGAACAAAACAGAAAACCAACAAGTCGTTGATACCTTATGGGATAGTTGATCATAAGAACATTAGATCTTTGGCATGATTCATTAATTACTTTAGAATTGATTCCCCAATTTTCTGTCTCAATTGCACTTTGAAAATTCAGCACAGCAGTGATCCCCTGATGCAGACATGCCTTGGATTATACAACTGAATGGAAAAAACAGCTTAATCCACTGATAAACATACCCCTAGATGAATCTTATATTTGTTTGTATATCTATATGAATATATTACTTCCCCCAGCTACGGACATCTTCGAAACCGTTGCAAAATGGAAATCCCCTCTGTGAACATATTGATAATGGCGAAAGAAAGATATGCACACCAAAACAGTTCATGTTTAAATTTAGATTATAATTTTGCATAATAATTGACTAAAAAGAAAAAGAACAAAGAATGCGCCTCAAATCAGAAAAGCTAAAACTCCCACCACTGCATTACACAGCATCTCAACATCAGCTTCCCTTTGAATGCATGAGCCAACATATATTTGTTCTGTGATCTGACAAAACAATAATGCAGGAGTAAGTAAAAAAGGTACAGCATTGAGTTTTTCTATGAAACATTAATTGTTTTATCACATTGATTACCCCTTTACAAATATTCTTTTCATTTTTATTAACTTTATTTTCTAAAAGGCAAAAGCATACATTTCTTGTGCCTACAATATTTTCATAGTCAAAGGGGTAAAGTGTGATTATCATTTATAAATTTTAAGAACACAAGGATATAACTTTTCTTGGTTTGTGTAATTTTGTGCCTTATAATAATTTTCAGAGGAAGTAAAAACTCAATCAGCATTAAAAAAAAGTTATCCCTTGGAGATGCTTTCTTAATACTCCCTACAATATTTTTTAAATGTTAATTGGTTAATATCAATCTCAAATTTTCACAGTTTGAAAATGTTTTTTGGAGTTAAATGCTCTCAAACTGAATATAAGTTACTTTTTTTTAATGCTGATTGAGTTTTTACTTCCTCTGAAAATTATTATAAGGCACAAAATTACACAAACCAAGAAAAGTTATATCCTTGTGTTCTTAAATTTTCATAGTCAAAGGGGTAAAGTGTGATTATCATTTATAAATTTTAAGAACACAAGGATATAACTTTTCTTGGTTTGTGTAATTTTGTGCCTTATAATAATTTTCAGAGGAAGTAAAAACTCAATCAGCATTAAAAAAAAGTAACTTATATTCAGTTTGAGAGCATTTAACTCCAAAAAACATTTTCAAACTGTGAAAATTTGAGATTGATATTAACCAATTAACATTTAAAAAATATTGTAGGGAGTATTAAGAAAGCATCTCCACGGATTGTCTTAAAAATCATACACTACTACGTATATAACTTCAGATAAAATGGTAAATAGTTGAAATTGATATTGACATTCCAGTAACAAACAATTAGAATAAAATCCAAGCACATGCTGTTTTGAGGGAGGGAGGTTTAAGATTACATAGTACCTTACTATATCTCGTTCCAAGTGCGTGATTGTAGTACAGATCCCCCTTAGAACGATCCAACGCCTTTATATATTCTTCTAACGGGAAATTCCCATGAGCCCATTGAGCATCTCTCGTGCCTTTCTCACAAAAGATATTCACGAGCGGGCTAAAAGGTATGGGAGGGGTTTTATTCAGCATAGTTTGCTCTCTGCTTTTGTTTGATTTATCCAACACCTTCCATCCTTTTGAAGTAAGATATTTAGATGAAAACAATGCAAATCCACTATTCCCACTGCTTTCAGTTCTTAAGTTTGAGGCAAGCAAATTCTTGTTCCATGTGGCTACGGGTACACGGCCACGATTAAATAGAATATCAACATCATCCATAAGATACATTTGGTGGATGGGAAATGGGGAGAAAGGTCTCTCAAGAATAAGGCTACATGATCCTGAATCACCCTCCTGCATTATCTTCCTACAGAAGCCGATTATAAGAGACTAAATAGCATGTGATATTTATACCTTCAAAAAGAAAATATATTGTATTCCGTACTCTGTATCGCCAAAGTCCTTGATCTCAATAAGCCTACCGCCTAAAGATTCACTGGCCTTTTTCAAAGTATCACCCACCATAATTATTCTCGACTTTTCAGCATTTCCCTACAAAATAATTCACCGAACAGAAGTTATTGGGATGAACAAAAATCTTTCCGCCAGTGAAGTAAGTCCAAAGTTGAGACTTGAGAGAATACTGACCCCTTTCTTGAGGGCATGAACAAAAATCTTTCCGTCAACGGAGAGGGCGAATCGAATACCCAAAGGCTTCTCCAGCGTGACCATGTACTCGTTCAAATTCATCGTGAGGCTCGAAGAAGTCTTCGCCGTGATCCGGAGAACTCTTCGGCGGGGCAACCGCTTCTCCACCGGCATTTCATTGGTGAAACACAACTCTCTGCTCCAAAAGGACGAAGGATTGTCGGTTTTCCCCAAACTCTTCCTCCGAGAAGAGAAGCTGCCGTTGAATGAAGTGTGGTAGCCTATGAAACTGGGAATTCTCAGCGAACACATTTTGAGCGTGTCCTGCCTGACGATTATTGAAAACGGAATGTCTTTGAAATGCTTTTATTAAGACTATTTACATGCAATGAGCCTCGAGCTGGTTCTCATAACTTGGAAGGCGGGGAGACGGCGGTTATCGGTGGACAATTGTGGAAGAGGCGCCGTAAGATCGAGCTAAGAAGTCACAAGCGAGCTCTGTGACGGACTGTAAGTAAGGTGGGGTACAAACTACAAAGCGGTGTACACGCAGAAGGTTTACCTCATCTCATCTACACGCCCGTTTTGTTTTTGGACGGACAATTATGGACAGTGGCGGAGCCAGATATTTTTCGCAGGAGGGGCATACTTAAGGTTAAAAATTTTGTGTATTTGCTCAAAATTTAATAAAAACAATAAAAGCTTAATACATTAGCACATATTAGTTCATTACATATTTCTTGACTTATATCTATAATCTCGGTAGATCAATTATGCGAGTTTTAATTTGTTCAAAATGTTGTATAATAATTTTATGTTGGAAAAACACGACCCTAGCCTTTTTCAAGATCACGAGCTCATAGACTCTTGTACACTTATATATCCACACACTCACAATACAAATTCTCGATCTGACAATATCACTTTGTATTATTCTCATTCACTTTTTGTATATGAGACTACTTCATTCCACCTTGATCACATACACTACGTCAAACGATATCTCTGAGCCTTCTTTTCTCACAAGAAGGCTTTCACTATTCTCTTTCAAGGAGACTCTCACTTTCACTCGCTCAATATATCTCCTCAAAGTTCTCATATAAATGAGAAGCTTCTCTATAAATCTCATCAAAGTTTCTCTAGAATTTTTTATACACCACTACACATCAAACATCAAGATTCTTCCAAAAAGTATCCACAAGCTTCTCTTGTCTTTTGGAAGGATTTAGAAAACCTCACAATTCTTCAAAATGTTCTAGAGGCTTCCACATGATTTTGTGAGTTCCATATTTCTCTAAAAAAAAACTCTACATTATTATTCTAGAACACTCAACACATCTCTACACACATAAATAGAATCTTGGATGCTCTAAAAATTCTAAAATTCTCATGAATTTCTCCACCAAGGAGGGAATCCAGCATAGTATCGAAAATGTTTTGATGATATTTTTGTTACAAGAAAAGTGACAACATATTCGTCAAACTCAACACTTTCTTGCTCACTATAACCACGAAAAGCTAACACATGCGTCATTTAATGTCTAAAACAATCCGCACTTGCATTCAAATGAGTGTGATATGCTACCGCCAATACTTGTATTCTTAGAGACACATACGTTTCCTAAAAGACTTTTCCTTTTATTTTAACATTTAACCTAAAATTATCCTTAAACAGTATTTATTTTTGACAAAAGGAGGGGCATTAAATATATTATAAGTAGTAGTACTAAAGAAATTTGCCTGAAGCGGAGGCGCTTGCCCCCTCATGCCCCTCCCTAGCTCCTCCACTGATTATGGACAATGCCCCATTTACTTGTGAAAGAATTACAAAAATAAGACTTGTAGTACCTCCGTCCCAAAAAATGAGTCACGTTTCTTTTGACCACAAATTTTAATAAAATGGTTGAAAAAGTAAAAGTTGTGATTGAAATTTGAGTAGAAAAAAGTGAAATCATGAGGAGCACATCTTTCTTTCTAAAAAGGGAAACAAGACCATCATTTTGGGACGGAGGGAGTAGCTTTTCATTTGACAAAAATAGGACTGATTTACGTTTAAGACAAAAAAAGGGACTAAAGTGATTGAAATTCCCCAAATGCCCCCTGAATCCCTAAATTCCAATTTCGCCCACCTCCCAGGTTCATCCTCATCGAACTTCAACTTCATGCGCATTGGAGAATGGCTGTGGTGAATTGGTGACGACGATGACACAAAATTCGTCGACGAAATCGTCCACCTTCAGTGGCTATGAAGACGACGATGCAACTCTTCTTCACTGATGTCAGCGGCGGAGTTGTTCGAAGATGACTATAGAGATCTGGAACATAGCTACGGAGTTCTGCGAAGATGAAGACAACCTTTGTTCGCTCTCGACGTCATCTTCTCCTTTCGCATATAAATTCTCCTCCGACATCACTGTTTTTTCACCAATCCAGTCTTCACCAATCTTTTTTCTTCCTTCTGTTTTGGCGTCTTGGTATTTGGTGGCGGTGGTAACTCATCGGGTTTGTCGGGTGGGTTGTGATTGTTGCAGGGGTAGGGAGGGGGCAGGGCGAGGCAGGGGCTAGATGCAGCTGTTGGGGCTACGACGGCGGTTGTCGGGGATGCGGCGGCAGTTGCGAGGGCTGTGGCGGTGGTTGTCGGGGCTGCGGCGGCAGTTGCTTGTCGGGCAGCAGTTTCTCGATGGGGTGGGGCAGGGTAATCAGAGAAATAGGGTGTCGACGCTAGCGGCACCTGTCACTTGACGGGGTGCGACGACAATTACCGAAGCGATTACCGAAGGACGCGTTAGTGGTCACTAATTGGCAGTGATAATTGTGATCACTATCGAATTGGGTAACCGTAATTGTAACTGATCAGGTCAGATACGGGATAACCCGCATACATATATGACAACATACAGACAACCAAAACTCCCAACTATGCACAACAACACACATGTAAACATACACACCTATAATGGCACAAACAAAAGCACACATAATCAGAACATCTGAGTTTCCAGGACAAGAAGTAGGCGAGACCTTGGATAAACCACCAAGTGCACAAGACAAAGTTTCAAAACACACCTGATCCCAGATAAACCACCAAGATACAAGGGCAAGGTCAAAAGATGTCCAAATAATGCAATGAAACACAAATGAAACAGTTCAAGACATACTTAAGAGTCAGCCTCGTCATCTGACTGACCCACGTCAAAATCATCATCAGCAATCGGAGGGTCAATTTCAGTCTGGAGTTTTTCCCAAGTAGTGATGTCTTTGGCAGCGTCCCAATTGGAAGTGTCACCCGCAAGGAAGGAAACCATAAGATCACCACGTGTCTTCCACACGTAAAAGCAAGCCGCATTGATAACCTCCTGCTTTTTCCTCCTCCCGAAGGCCCCAGAGCCTTAACCCTCTCTCCAAGCCTAGAGATCTGTGCAGATTATGTTGTTACCTCTACCTGCAAGTCCTGGATTATCTTGGCACGAGATTCAAGCTGGGCAATGGGAAATAGTCTCTTTGCTCTTCAGCTCATCAAAAGCTTTCTCCAGCGAGGTTACTGTGACACCGCACCCGAACGTCCTTGAAAATTCCATTTAAAATTCAAAGTTTACGAAGTGAATTTCCGACTTTCAAACAATTGTAAAACGATTAATGTTTTGCGTAGTGCATGGTTGATTTTTGTACTGTTCAAACTCGTACATTAGTATCGGGTTCGCAAATACTTATTTGGTCCTTATTAATGAATATAATAGCCCAACTTTTCCCAAATAAAGATATACAACCTTGCAAGACAAATTGAGGAAGGACGGGCGGCCCAAACATTATTTCGGGCCCAACCTGCTAAAGATAGCAAGTATTCGAGAATGGCGTCCTAGACCCACTCGGGAGTGACCCACACGGCTAGTAGCCCAATAATATGTATGACAAATGTCAAAATAAGTGATAGAATGATTAGAGAAGAATACAAATGCCTATAGCCCCATCTTTGGCCTTATGGAGCTAAATAATGGGAGTAGGGTTTTTCTTCTTTAATATTCATCACATGAATTGTTGGGATGATCCTACACATATTGGGAATCAATGATATGATGTAGGAAGTTAACTTGTTCTAAATAAATTAGGATGAGTACAAAAAGACATCTTTTGACAAAAGATTAAACAATAGGACCCATTCTTCCATTTTTGGATGTATTAGTTAATATTTTGCTCCCAAAATAATTGGGGAACAACATTGTAACACCCCCATTTTCCCTCCCAAAATAATACTTGAAATAATAGATTTATTGATAATAAACTTGATTTCAAAACAGATAAAAAGTTTTGCAGCGGAAATAACACTAATTGGGAAATGGGTGTTACCGCCACATCCGGTCATCTCCTAACCGAATGCACAGGCAATCACAAAACTAAACAAAGTAAAACAAGTGTTCAACATAATTAAATTATAATTCTTGACTAGGTTTGACTAAGGCATCTCTAAACCGCTCTCGGGAATCATGTAATCATCAGTCAACATAAGCATCATCACCTGCACAAATAAAGTGCAGAAAACAAAACAAAGGAAAGAAAACAAAAATTAGCTTTAGAGCTAAGTAAGTACTACCCAACCCCGTAAAATAATCAGGTTTGGCGAAAAATAGTTTTTCATATAATACTATATAAAAATGACACACTCCACCAAAATTCTTTTCTCTTTGATATTTCTCAAAATCACTTCTTTAATAAAGTCCTCAACTTTTCTTTGAAAATACCATAGTAACTCTTCTCTTAGAATTTCTCAAAGTTCACTTCTTCTCTATCTTCCTAGTAATTTAGAAGGGCGGTGCTCAACACTGGTTGAGTCCGGTGGTTACGTTGTTATGTACGGCCACCCCGGGACTTTTGCCGGTACCACAACTGCTAATGGAAACGAAACGACTACCTTAAGTGTGCACACCCCCTAAAAGGGATTCCAAGCCCTCCGAGTAGTAAGTCGTCACGAGTAATCGGGACTCAGTCTACCAACTACCCCACCTTTAAAATTCTTGAATGATTAGGGACTACTACTATAACTTCTTCTTAAAAGGGATCATAGATCCAAACGTCACTTCAAACTCAAACTGTACTTCTTAGTAGTAGTAGCCTTAATCACCCTCCACATTTATCCGGATGTGGAAAACCGACACCACGGATTTCTCCCGGGTGCTCACCTCTTATGAAATCCTTAATTTTATCTTGAATTAAGTATACTTCAAAAATATTTCTCAATCTCTCTAAATAGTCTCAAAAGTATCTAAAAATATTTAATACCCAAAAGAACTTCGTTTGCACTTCAAAAATACCATAAATCTAATATCTCCTCAAAATCACATACACATAATTCAAAATTCACTCTTTATCACAAAATGCATAATAAGCATATAATACGAGGAAATCATTTTGGATCGGCAGAGAAACTTACCTCGATTGGCAATAAATCTTATTTGAAGTATCTATCTCGGTCTCCAGAATCACCTTCTAAAATATTAAAATTCGAGCATTAATAATTATTCTAATCCTCTTGGTAATTTTTAATTTATGGGTTAATTATGCCATTTAAATTCTGTAATTCTCATTAATCCATTTTGTCAATAATAATCCCTCCATTTATTCATTAGTC